CTGAGAGGAACCGGATCCACCTGGTCCTCTGAGAGGAACCGGATCCAGCCAGACTGAGGGTCTCTGATGGGACTGAAGCTCCGTTCAGACCAGTTCCTACCTCGTCTCCTCCCCTCAGATAAAGTCAGAACTCTGTTTCAACGCAGCTGAAAGTGAAAAGTAGAACCCGCCCAGGTCCTGCGAGCGGGGCCGTAGAACCCGCCCAGGTCCTGCGAGCGGGGCCGTAGAACCCGTCGGGCCGCTCTTCCTTCAGCCGCTCCACATGCAGAGCAACAAGCAGCAGCTGGTTCTGCTCAGACGTTCTTCTCGTTCTGCTGGTGACAGAAATGGCTTCTTTGTTCCTCGTCCGACGCGCGGCGCCGAGTCTTTAAAAAACGTCGTCCTGCTCAGAAAGCCGTCAGGCTTCTTTAACGCCACAGAACAGACACACGGTAGAAAAATAGAGTCATGCTGCAGAAGGAGGGAGAACAGTCGGACGCGTGGCTCGCTGCTGCGTTCACTGCACCGCTCCAAGGGTGGGAAACCCCGCCGCCAGGAACTCACCAACACCTGGGTCCAGTCCGGTGCTCAAACGGGTTCTTGGGACTCTGCACCCTTGTCAAACGAGCACGTTTACAGCAGCAGCTGAACAACAACAACAACCTGTAGGAGGGCAACAGTCGGGCCCGGTTACCGTGGCAACCACAGCCAGCATCAACATGAGAACAGTCCGTTCACTGATTGTCTCGGTTCCGTCATCTTTATCTGTACAATAAAATAAAGTTCACATCGGCTGTTCCTGAACCGAGACCCGGTTCGTGATCCACCAGTTGGAGCAGCTGCAGTTTCAGTTGGGTCGGGACGGTTCTTCCTGAAAACATCTGGGTCCGACTTCGAGACGAGACTTCCAGATGTTCACGTCTGGATCGGACTCAGAACACAAAGCGTACTGGACCTGCCAGGGTGAGTCGTTCATAATACCAGCTCTCAGATTCTGGTTCTGCCTGTTAAGAGGTGGAACCAACAGAGTGGGTCAACCAGAACCATCAACAATATTCTAAAGAAACACGAGGTCCAGTTTGAAGATTTACCTGGAGGAACTCAAAACATGCCACAAGAACGAAGATCATCAGAAGCAAGAAGACCAAGGTCCTGGACGGGCCCGGTCCATCTCCAGACAACCCCACACAGGTGCATTTTAGCTGATAGAGGAGACCGAAGGGACATTTTAGCTGCTAGACACCGAAGGGACATTTTAGCTGCTAGAGACCAAAGGGACATTTTAGCTGCTAGAGACCAAAGGGACATTTTAGCTGCTAGAAGACCGAAGGGACATTTCAG